AAATATGTAAAAATATAAATTTTACATCAAATAAATACGAGAGAAGCGTCACTGTCAGCTAATTCATCTTGCAATTGGTATAAGACATCCGGCCCGGATCGGATCAAGAAGTTCCAGATTCGAATTCTGGCTGAGGTAACATTTTTTGCAATAAGTTTTTTAGTTTCAGTATTTAGGATATTTGTAGCATAACTATTAAATTGATGCTCAATTTAACTTGTAATGTTATTTCAACTTTAGTGTGTGATTACATTTTAAAGTTCGATAGTAATCGGCGCGTATTGTACTTGAAATTTAAAAAATAAAAATATAATTGAGTACTAGTATTTAGCCTCGGGGTAGGATTTTCCTCGTATTTATTTGACGTATTCATATACAACGGTGGTATTTAAAATTATAAAATTTTTAATATATACTTCCGTACGTAAGATGTTTGTTTTACCTTAGCGAAGCCTTCCAAAGACGGTAAGAATAGACCAAAGCATAACGTTATTGCGGGTGTCTTTAGACTTTGATATGTTATTATCACGAGGCATTTTTGTATGTTCAGTGGAGCCGCATACCACTGAGTGTTGCATCTATGATGCAATATGAATTCATATTAATAAATTTGCTTTGTGATGTTGTACACATTTTAGACATATGTTTAACTAAAATCTCATATAATTCCTCTACACTCACATTTTCTTAAATATATCGTTGCTATAATCTATTACTTCTTGACCAATGTAATTATTAAAGAACATAAGGCCATAATTACTGGCAATGTATAAAAACAATATACTCGCATCAACAATATTTTTTGCCACAATATATTCGCAAAGCTACGGAACTTACAATTTTTTTAAAATCGTTATATGATACAATTAGATCGTTAATGATACAATTAGAAGCCTTACAATAAACTCACACGATATAAACTGACGCTCATCGAACTCACAACTATTGAAATTGCAAGTAATTGAGTCTTCATGAAAGCGGATTTGAAAAAATCAATGAACCTTAAATCATCACATAATATGAATTTGAAAAAGATTGTTAACTCAAAAAAAAATCCTTAAAGTATGAATTATATTATAAAAATGTAGACAACATACGAAAAATAAGTAATTAAATTACTAGAACAGTTTTAGAATATAAAATACATTTTTGTGTCATAAAACACAATTTCTTATATTTTTGAGAATTATCATGGAAAGAATCTTATATATAAATTGCAATACCAACTTGATAGCGTTTCGATGACAGTTGACAACCTCCACGATGCTATTACGACTATTGAATATTTCTAAAGAATCTGACAATTTCGTTTGGTTTCTGTTTACAATACATTCGATTCGATAACTATAAGAAAAATCCAGCTACATTGAATCAGAACAATATGTTTATAATTTCTTTATTAGCATTTAAGAATTCATTACCCAGTGATTTGAAACATTGCACATACATGTTGCACATACATTTGCATGCATGTTTGTATGGTTGCTACTGCGGTAGCATTGATGAAGACTATTAGGAACAAATACAAT